TATAATTTTCAGTTTTTGATTGAGTAGTTTGAAAACATCGTTGAAGCTTGGAAAGACTCACACGAACTGCGATGGTATAGACGCTGCCCCAAATGCCAGTTGTAGACACATGAATTGTGTGTGATCGCTTAATTATGAGTCATCCTCAATGTATTTCTAATAGCACCGTTGTTTCAGAAGATGTTTGTAGGAGTTCGTCTCCTGTAATTTCTCAGGAGATTGCCAAGTGTGAACAACAAAGAAGGATTTTACCTAGTCGTAAATCTTCGTTGAAGAAATCAATGTATTTTGTAATTCAAGATACTAAAATACACCAGCTGCCGACTCTTTCCGGTATCCTCTTCTCAAACATCACCCGATTCATTGACTTCAGCAAGCGAGCATACGCGAGAGAATAAGCAAATAAAAAGCCGCGTGTCACAAACATATTTCCATGCAACAGCTCCCTTCTTTTTAATCCTTTTCCATTCATTTTGTTAATGCATCGGAAAAAAATTTTTTTAAATAAAGAAAAAGACTAACTGCAACAATTAACAAATTCATCTACGCAAAACAACAATAAGAATGCATCTATGATGTAGATGATTGCTGTTGTTCCTTCAGTTGCAGTAGAAGCTGTTTTTTCTCCTCGATGCGCTTCTTTCTTTCGCTCAGACTGATCTTGTATGTATGGTAACTGAAAATTTGAAGTACATAAAATTTTACCACTTCTCAAGGTGAAAGATCTTACTCCTTTGGTTTTCCAATTTGTTTCTTTGGCTTGGCAATGTGATCAGGATTTTTACGAATTGCCTCGTGAGCATTTTTGTACATCTGAACCACGAGATCAAAGGGATATTACATTAGCACAGCTAAGAACTGTCTTACCGTCTCCAGATCGTCAGCCTCAACGCCATTCGCAATGAACTGCGAAAATTGACGATTGTAAGCTTCTGGATCTTCTTCCTTGAGCTTTCGCATGTAATCGGCTACATGCTTCCCGAAAATACGATCGCGATGCGCTTGAGCGTTGTACTTCTTGTTTTCGGAATCGTAGCCGAAGAAGCGGGTCTCACTGAATTTTTAGAAACAAGTTAATATTGAGCTTCAAGCTTATCTGAGCTCTTTCCTTAACAACTGAAATTCCACAATTTGTCAAATTATTCACCTGTGAGGAATATCGATTCCACCATCAACCACTCCTTTCATTACACCAAATATCTTGCAGCCGGTTGTAGTTCGAGATAGTCCAACATCCAGTACAGCTTTAAATGGTCTGCGGCCATCTTCCTCTTCAACGATAAAGTACTCGCCGTTAATCTACAAAATTTCAGAGACGGTTTTTACATAAATACAAATCAATTTACTTCATCTTGGCCTGGAAAAATTTTGTCCAGCTCCAGATTCTTGAGATGACGACGGGCAAGAAGAAGACCAGTAGCATATGCAGCTGCATAGTT